GCCTGACCCCTATCGTTGGGCTTAGATGTCTTAGTGTAGCGCCACGTTTTCTTTTAATAAGCTTAGCATTTCATTTCGTTCCACTGCTCGACTTAGTTTAAAACTCCTCTGTGCTTTTATTTTGTTTTAATAAAGGCTAAGAGTGCATATGTGAATTGTATTCCTAATTGTACTTTTTGTGCTTAAGTGTTATGTGTGCTAAGTGTCAATTTTGTTTTCTTAAGTGCTTAATTTCTTTTATGTGTCTAAGTGTTTGGTTGTACCCAATTTGCCTAAATGTTATATTTGTGCCTTCTTGCTGAGTGTTCTTTTATATTTTCCTAAATGTTCTTAAGTGATTATTTTACCATATTATTTGCCTAATTGAATTATTAGATTATGTGAATCAAGTTCCTAATTGAATTATGTTATTATGTGAATTATTTTCTTAAGTGAATTATGTGCGTATGTGATTTATTTCTCTAGGTGATTATTTGACTTTGGTGTTTTCATGATTATGTGATTTTGTGCTTAAGTGATTATTTGAATTTTTGTGCTAAGTGTTAGATTATTTTTTTTTAGTATATTATTTGTACTAATTGTTTTTAAATGTCCATAAATTTCTTAAGGGTATATATATATATGGATATCATTCTTTTGGACCCAAGAACATTAACAAGTCCATCTCCCAAACCCACTAGACCATGAGACCGTTTGATTTAGTTAAGAAGGTCCAATCTTGCAGCCCAAATTCTCGGCCCAAGCCTCCATTAAGATCAGTCGCATCAATGATCGACGCCCAAATTATCGCCATCTCCCCAAAAATCCAGCCACGATTTCCCCTATCGGATTTGCCCTAATTCTCCTTACTTAAGCATCCAAGTATCAGCCTCCCCTCAAGGATCCAAACTCCCTCAGAAATTCTCAAATCGCCCAATTATTTTTCCCAGTGTTTCTCCTCGGCCAGCATCCATTCCCGGCGACCTTTGCATCAGACCTCCGGCCACAAGGCCACAAGCAGTGAGCCGCGACCTCAAGACTCGATTTTTCGTCGATCAGAGCAACCCCAGGTCGCAAGCCCCAAATTCTTTCTCCGTTCCAGCGACCATCGTCGGTGAGTCTCATCGGTGTTTTGAGATGTCCCGGCGAGTTCAAGTGCATGTCCGACCTCCGACGACTAGAGCTCTGTCCGTTGAACTGCCACCCTGCACGTACGCAACGGCAAACAAGATCCTCCAGCCGGAAAATTTCACCAGCAACAACAACGCGACCGAGACTAGCAGCGGCAGCCGCAAACCTGAGCATTATCGGGAAACTAAGAGCAGGTCAGGAGTATCCTTGTCGAACAAGGGAGTAGTCGAGCGACCAACGGGCTTCCGACAAGTACCGAGCAGAGCATCCGAGCCACCCCGACTGAAGCGAGCGGAAAGCGATCGTGTTCAGCGGCTTAGGGTTGGCCTTACTCTGTCCGAGATAAGAGCCATTAGCGAGCTGAACCTCACCGGTCCCAGCCGAGAGCCTCAGTCGAGGTCTTTTTCAGACCCGAGATCGGAGTTTTTCGTCTTTTACCTTTCCCTACGAGAGGTATTTCAGCCAACCGAATTTATGTGAAATTTTCTATGCATAGTTTCAGTCTTTAATTAGGAGATTAAGAGCATGCTTGAGTTATATGTCTTAACGGCCTCATTGTGGTTGTCCTGCTGAGCCTTGTTGTTAGAATATTTTTTTTTTTTATTGTTGTTCAGTGAGTTTCTAAGAGTTCAGTGTTAGCTTTAAATGACTTAAATTTCATGTTAAGTTTTGAAGGAAAGAGAGCTTGAAGTGTTGCATTTTGCTTTGTTCCTGTTTATGTTTTGTTCTTGTGTTTACTTGGAAATAAATGAACCTTTAAAATGCGTATTTATGTGCTGTTAGATTGGTGCTTAGTGCGGTGCTAAGTATGCTTATGATAGTGAGTTTGAGGAGAAGTGCATGTGGTATGATAATTTTGAAGCAGGTTGGTTTGTCTTGTTACATTGATTTATGGCTTGATTTCAGTTCCAAAGAGTTTCGGTTGTCTGCCTTATATTTGAAAAAGTGAGAGCATGAATATATGACTTTATGACCTTGCTATATTTGGTTTATTAACCTCCGTTCAGAGTGTTTTAGGCTGAGATACATGAGTTTTGAGGAGGGAAATTTCAGTCAAAAAGTCAGTTTATGAGCAGGTCTAAAGTGTTAGAAAAGAAGAGCAAGAATTTTGTGTATTGTGCCTTGTTTTATATGCCTGCTTGCCTTGATATCTGGAGAAAATAAGGGGCTGCTAGCATCATGCTCTTAATATGCTGAATTTAAGGTTTTTATTTTGGTAAGAATTGAGTTAGTGTCATGCTTAAAATAATTGTAAAATTTTAGGTACAAGTGAGAACAAGTATATGTGATATATTTATTGGCCATGTCTTATTTTGTCTTATTGTGCCTATGAACGTGGAGTTTTCTGCCCAGCTTTGGTGTCTTATTTATTTGTTGAGGTTAGATGAATTGTTTGCAGAAAGAGGACATGATTTATTTATTTATTTTTCTTGTCCTTCATGTTAAGGAGGATTTTGGCTATCATTATACTTCTTAATTTGGGTTAAGAACTCAATATTATGAGTTGAGAAGCATGTCAGAATAGTGAGCAATGATTAAAGCAGTTTCAGTAAAGTTTCAGTAAAGTTAAGAGTTAGTAGAGGAGTTAGAAGGATTATGTGCTTTATTTGATTTTAATTGTCTTAATTTCCTTGTTTGCTTTATCTACCTTTTAAGTGTCTAATTTTTCTTACTTGTCCTCGTTTGTTTAAATGTTTTGACTGTCTTATTTGCCTTATTTGCCTGTCTATAGCCTCTTTAAGTAATAAAATAAAATTATTTTTAAAACGTAGATTAAGAGGAGTTGATCTCTTATTCAGACGCTCATTCTTGGAAGCAGTTCAGTCAGTAAGTAAGCAATTCAGGTGGGAGTTCTATACTATGGTTTATTCTTTATAAACATGCGGTAGTATAGTTTTTATATGCATGTGATTATGGGCCGGTGGGCCGAACGCGTGATGTGAACTTTTACCATGGCGGCTTGAAATAAGAGTCACTAGGCCGGGTAATTATCAGTTAAGTTATCTACTAGCGGGACTGGGTAATGCCAATGGCACTAGTAGAATTATTTATTAGCGGGATCGGTTGATGCCGAATGCACTAGTAAGTAACCATACCGACGTTCATGAACATAGGTTAACGGCGTATAATAGCTAATTAGCCGGATAAATTATGAAGGCTTGAAATAAGAGTCACTAGTCCGAATTTACCTGAAGGCTTGAAGCCGGGATGATATTAGTCAGCAGTGAGACAGTAAGCTTTACATGTTTATATGATTATTATCCTATTTGTGTTTATAGTGAATCGATGCATAGTATGAATTTTACCACTGAGCCGAGAGACGGTGTTCACCCCCTTTGTTTTTCATGTTGATCGAGCTGGCGGCGGACACGAGAGGACGGGCGTGGTCGTCTTTAATTATATTTATATTTTTTGTAAACTTTATTGAAATTTGTATTCAAATTTGAACGTTAGGATTACAAATTGATTAAGTGAAACGAGTTTATTTTGAAAAATTTATTTATGTGCTGAATGTCTTGATAGAAATAATAGCTTTTGAGTAATGTCCGTTGAAAATGAGATAGATTAAGTAATACCTGTTAAGTAAATTTTTAAAATGATTTGCGAAAAAAATAGACACTGGTTTTTAGAAAAATATCCGGTATTTTATCTTTTAAATAACGGGGCGTTACAGTGGGCTTATCTTCCAATATGTATCCGCTTTATCCATTAAATCGGGTCTAATATAATATCCTATATCACATATATCATATTTATATTTATAGTGAATATATTTTATATGAAATGAATTGTTTCGATTTAAACTACAATCTCGTCATTTGACATTAAAAATTGCGCATATCTGACTAAAATTCCTAGATACGTCACTGGCTTCTCCAATTCTCTTTTCACGATGATAGTAATCTCACATAAATTAATGTACCATTCTCAATTTTCATGATGATGGTTAATGGTATTCTAAATTATTATATTGCAACTACATAATCCAAACATTTAATTTATAATACTGATACTAATATTAATATATTATCTAATTGTTATAAATATTTATATTTATTGCCAAATTATGCCTATCTATTAAGTGGGGCCATATCAAAATATGTGATTTTTGTACGATAGGATTAGTGAGAGCACATTATATTTTGGAGTATCGTGGTTTAGAGGGAACTAGTGCGTGGCCCGTGCGATGCACGGGAAAAGAATATTACGATTGTGTTATAAATTAAATATACAAATAAATTAATCAAGATTTACCCATCATTTTAAAATTAAAGCGTGTTGGACACAGTCCGACCGGATGGACCGAGAACCAGTTTATAATCAGTCTAGTTCACTTAAATAAAATATCTGCTATTGAATCCGTCAACACCAGTCGGTTGAACTGGTAGGATCGATACGATTTTATAATTTTTGCTACATTTAAAATTATTTTAAATAAAATTAAATAAAATAGATATTTATAAATTGTTTATCAATTAATTTAAACATTTGAATTTTTCAATTGTTTAGATATTTAAGTAACACATTTTATTTAAATTTATTACAAAAAGTACCATATATATATATATATATATATATAAAAGCGTATTTTTACAGAAAAAAATAAATTGTATAATTTTTATAAATTAAATTGTATGATTGAATTGTATAATTATATTAAAAAATATTTATAAATTAAATTGTATGTTCTTTAAATAAAAAAAAAAAGAAAAATAATAAAACTACTATTTATGGGTTGCATTAAATGCTGACCTATTTTTTTGCTACTAATTTTAGTAAATAGGTTAGCTTTTAATATAAGTATAGATATTATTTGCATTTTAGCTGTTGGAAGCTTTGTCCAAGAAAATAATAAAATTCCCATCTTTTGTGGTATCCTATCCTGTAAAATGAGTTTGGCTTACCAATACCGTTATCCTCCCGGACTAATCAAACCCAATCAACATAAATCCCCAAGAATCAACCCCAAAAGATTGCTGCAGATTTCAAGTGCACAGAAGAGATGCTTGAGGTGCAACACCCTTTACGACGACAACGACAACTCTGCAACTGCTTGTTCTTTCCATGGCCACGCCACTGGTACCATTGCATTAATCCCGTCTTCTTCCTTTGTTTTCCTCATTTTTTCAGTTAACTTTACCTTTCCTTTTAGTTTGACAAAGCTTGTAGCTTTATATCCGGTCGTTCCTTTAATCGGACTTTGGACTTCCGTTACAGATTCTTGAGCGTATCTGCAATGGCTCCCCTTCTATTCTTAAGCATTAATTTTTTGAAATATTATGCAGGGGAGAGAGGATTATTTGCATTGGCCCCACCTCACCAAGGAATTGATGGAGAGTGGAGTGATAAATCTGGTGTGATTGTGTACAAATGGAATGAGAAAGACGAGAGGCCAAACACTGGCAGATCCAACTGGAAAAGGAGATGGAGCTGTTGTGCAGAGTATGACGAGAATGCTCCCCCTTGTCAACGAGGACGCCACGTGTCCTATGATGATGGTTTCACCTTGTACTGACCTCATCTACATATTCGGATTTATTTATTGAAAGCATCTACTTCTCGGTCGTTGCACATTGTCGCAAAATATTTATGTCGGTGTTTTTGCATGTTGATCTGTGGATAGTTTTGTGGATTGAGTCGAGCCTTCTCAACTTCAATATGTTTTCATTCTAAAAATGAAGGATTGCTCATGCCAAAAATGAGAAGATAGGCTTGGTGTGGAAGTTGAAATGTGAGCTCGTTTACAGAAAACCAGCAGTCTTACTTAAAACCGGTAAATCTTTGGCGATACGTACATTTCTTACAAATAAATAGCACGATCAATGCGTATACTAGAAGTTGCGACTTGAAGTTCTGTACTATGTAATGATACACCTCAATCAGTTTGATACAAGAATCAGCCACAACTGACTGAATGACGTGTTTCAAAGCAAACTGTTTCTTTAATGCCACAAGAGGAACACTAAACAATTTCCAGTACACTGCCGTTCCATTGTTAGGTAGGCATCAGGCCTATTGATCTTACTCATATATGGCAACCACGATATCCATGTTTACCCAAATGGAGACCATCCTATTACAGAACTAACAAAAATATCATGGCACTACACAACAAAGCAAACAAAACCACAACACCAGTTCTTCTTCAACTATACATTCATCACCACAAGGCACAGTCTCTCCCGAAGATCCCACGACGCAAAATCGGATCTTTCAACCGACCGTCTTGAAAGACTCATGAATGTGCCTGAGCATCTCCTCATCCCTGTTCCACTCAGGGGTGGGAGCGTTCACAAAATGGGCGTACAGTTTGTTCTTGGCGCAGGTCACAGAGATGAGGCTGTGGGCCACGGCCCCGTTAATCTCGTACACGTAGTACAGCTGTCCCTTGTCGTCCTTCATCTCTTCCGACTCCACCTGGTCGGCGCTGGCAATCAGGTCCTGCAGATCCACGTCGGACAGTGCCAGGTTGTTGAGGATGACCTCCTTTGGGGCCAATCGAGGAAAGCCCTCAAGGAAGGTCAGGTATTCCTTCTCCGATTTCTTCTTGGGGTTGTAGAATTCGCTGTCGGTGCCGTTGGTGCCCTTCTGGATCTTGGACACCAGCTTCTCCTTCCAACCCTCGGGGACGTCGTACGTGTACTCGGCGGAGGCCTTCTTGTCCGAGTTTCCTCCGTACCCGCCGTAGTTCGCGGCGCTCGCGGCGGTGCCGTAGTAGAGCTTGTACGCGTCGGCCGCCAGGGAGGGCGGCGGCGGCGCGGTGAGGATCGTGGTGGCTAGGGCGGCGGCGGTTAGGGTGGTGGCTAGGGTGCTTTGTGGTTTGTGGGGTGTGGGGATGAGGTTGGCCTTGGGTGACGGCGGGATCTTGGCGGCGGCGGTGGTGGTGGTTGCGGAAAGGACGGCGGATGGAGAGAAAATTGTGGCCATGGCCGGGAAGTTTCTTCGGTCTATTAAGATGGGTGGATGTGGTTGTTTCGTATGAATAATAATACTATTTGTTTCTTTATTTCAAAATATATCTATTATTATCCTATACTCGCCAATCATGGTGTAGCATGGTGCCATGTCAGTGCTCATTTTCCCTTTCTCATTTTTTAGGGTGTGTTTATTGTCTTGAATTCTTGTAATATATGAAATCTGCGCATTTTTATCTCGTATTTTAAAAATTGTGTCACATCCTTTGTATTTAATGTTTACATGTAGACCCGCCCTTTTATGCCTCGTATTTCAAATATTGCGTCAAACCTCCTTGTATTTAATGTTTACATGCAGACTCGCTCTTTTATGTTAACGTCGTTACCTTAATATTGACGGCGTTACTTTTTTGTTCAATTATTATTATACCCTTCCTTTTGTATTTAATGTTTACATGCAGACTCGCTCTTTTATGTTAACGTCGTTACCTTAATATTGACGGCGTTACTTTTTTGTTCAATTATTATACCCTTGTTTTATCAATGAATATACGATTATGCCATGTTGTCAATATGTTACCTTAAAATTAAAATCACAAATGTGGAGATTGAACCTGTACCTTTGGTTAAAAAAGGCATCTCCCACCAACTGGGCTACTCGATATTTAGTTTGTGATTCTATTTATATATATCATAACGTAAAGCAGAAATATCATAACAATTAATTAGAAATAATGTAGTAATTAAATATATAGATTCTAAGTTATAAATAATATATTGGTTAAGTATATATATAATTATAAATAACGTAATAATTAAGAAAATATTTTCTAACTTATAAATAATATAATAGTTAAGTAAGTCGATTAAAATTTACTAATATATAATAACTAAACAATATATTCTAAATTACAAATAATATATTAACTGACTAAATATATTCTAAATTAGTTAAATATAATAATAATATGAATGAATTTTAAATTATAAATATTCGAAATTATAAATGATATAATAATCATAATAAAATAGACTATGAATTTTAAATTAATATAATAATTATTTAAAGAGATTTTGTATTATTATAAAATATAAATATTGAATTATTATATTACTTATAATCTATAATTAACATTAAGTTATGTATATTTAAGCATTTGTATTCTTACTTATAAATATTTATAATTATTGAATAAATTATGTTCTTAATTATAAATGATATAATAATCAAGTAAATATATTCAAAATTATAAATAATACAATAACTAAATAAAGAGACTCGAAATTATAAAGAAGGTTAAAAATTTTATAAAAAATTATTCATATTTAAAAATAATTAAAATAATCAAAACTTATTCATATACTTATTCATATTATTTAAAGCTCATAACAAAGGATACTTGTTATTTTTTTTTTACTTTTAATTACAAATTTTATTTTATATTAATTATACAAAAATTTAAAATAAGTAACTTAAATATATAATAAGTTCTTAAATTATTATTACAAATTCAAAAGCAACAATTTTATTGATAAAAAATAAAATTTATAAATTTATCGAACATTTAAAAATAGATAAAATATTATAAAAACTAAATAAAAGAAATAAATACAAATCATATATAGATATTTAATACAATTTTTTTTTACAAATTACTACTTTAATAATATATTATATATAGAATTATAATGTAATTTAACTTAATTTAATTTAGTTTAATTTTATTTATATATATTATATTACTTCTGTTGATATGGTTTTCGGTAAACCAAGTTATTAATACTCATTGGCGTTCAAAGCTCGACAATTAGAAGATTATGTTATCTCATAGGATTGACATACTCGCAAATCTCAAGTAATAACACATCGGATAAGAATGAGCCAAGAACCGACGTCCTCATCAAATAAACCGATATCTCATATCGGTTTAAGCATGATAAACCGATATCTATGACATGTCAAGCCGACATCATAAGGCGGCGCCAGCTCAGCAAAATCATCATTATGCCTTTACAAGTGGCGTGCTGCGAGAATGAATGGTAATCGACCGCCGTTGACCTTTCCTAAGGAATGATTGTAATCTTAATTTTGTATGAGACTATAATACAAAAGAGAGGAGCTCCCAAAAAGGGGAGGAGGATGAACAATCATATTCAATAAATTATATATTTGCGATTTCTCTCCATAAGACTAATTTTCTTGAAACCAACAATATAATTCGTCTTAAATAATCTTTGTTAATTCTCATATAACAACAGTTTGGCGCTAGAGGAAGGGCCTCATAAGTTTTTGAGGTTAACTTTCGCTGTTGTAGCCATCATTCGCTCGAATCTTCCATGTCCCAATCTAGTCGAGAACACACCTCCCATGCAGGCCAAAGCCATGCTACGAATCGTTCCCCAAGGCGTTCAACACCACCACCTCCAGTAACCAATATCACGAACTTTCTTCAAAACCCGGAGTTTATTCAAGGCTTAACCTCTCTTATAGCTCGAGTTATGCCAAGAAATTCGGGCACCGTACTATTATCTACACCTTTCCCCACGAATCCAACAGAACAACCAAATCTTACTCATTATAACCAAGAAACACATATAGCAACATCACATACTACCTCACAACCACGTCATATTTCTCAACATCGAGATGATATGACTTGTATAACTGTTAATCCAATACTAAATAACCAGGCCGCGGATGAGCCTCCTGTTCAAGAAATGACTGCTGAAAGCCATTCCGCTCACCATCATAGAATTCCTTCACGTCCTAGACCCCCCTCACCGATGCCCCGAGATCGTGAAGATTTACGTCATCAAATTGAACGAAATCGTGTGTCAAGACATAGTGCGGAGGAATTAGAGGCTCTCCGTAAAAGATTGGTTGAAATCGAAACTCGACAGAAATCACAAGAAGACTCTCCCCGACATGTCTCGACGTCGGGTAATGTCATCATTGAAGCTGATTCACCCTTGGCTCCCGAACTTACTGCAGAGGCACTCCCTGCCAAGATAAAAATTCCACAAATTGGCATGTATGATGGAACTTCGGATCCTGATGCACATTTAGGTCATTATACGTCTTGGATGGATTTTCATGGCGCCTCAGACGCTTTGAGATGTTGGATGTTTTCCCTCACACTGGGGCCACGAGCGCAAAAATGGTATTATACTCTTCCACCTCATTCAATATGGAAGTGGCAACAGTTACGAGCAGCTTTCCGATCACACTTTATCGGAGCCCATGTCTGTCTTATCCCGAAAGAATCAATCACTAACATCGTGCAGAAGGATAACGAAACAGTTAAGGACTATATATCTCGGTTCAATGACCGAATCCAAAATATGGAACCTTGCCATCCTGAAACTTTATTAGTAACCGCGATCGCTGGGTTAAGGCCCAATTCTATGTTTCGCTGGACTCTATGTCAGAACAAGCCAACTACCTTTCAAGAATTTCTCGTGCGAGCTCAACAATTCATTATCGTCGAAGAGTCGATGTCGGTTCCCAGTTTTGATTTCTCGGTTAAGGAAGATAAGACTGAGCCAGATGTGAAGAAGAAGAACAAGAAGAATTTCGGAAAAGCACAATACCGAAGTTATTCGAAAGGTTATGAAGATACTCCGGAATCCAGAGCCGCCCTAGACCAATATGCCGACAATGTGAGGATAGGCTATCAAACTGATTATTCAGCTGGAGCAGCCACAATTTTTGAAGAGCTGAAAAGAAAAAGGAATCATTCCTGATCCGAAACCTGTGAGAACTCCTGAAGACAAGCTGGACAAAACTCGATACTGTGCGTACCATAAGTCCCCGGGACATAATACTGATGAGTGTCTCGGCCTCTTATCGACTCTTATGCGTCTAATTGGGCAGCCTCAACTCCAAAAATTCTGGAATTTTGATAATCGTCGCAAATGAAGGCCCACAAACGTCTCCGACGAAGAAGATGACGACGAACGAGGTGCCAATCCAAAGAGAATCCGCACCACCGATAATGAGGTTTTTACGTTCTCTAATCTTGTCGGTACTTCGACCGATGAATACAAAAAACCCAGAACTCATGATGACTTGAATTCCTCTCATTATATACCTCGAATAAATTCGAACACTAAACAATTGGATACATCTCAGTGAAAAGCCAAAGCCTACGCTCGAGAAGCACAAAATGCCGGGAAACAAATCATGAATGTTGATCTTCAAGATACGATTAACAGGCGAAATTGTCCCATTACTTTCAACATCGAGGATGCTAATTTGTTCACTCATCCACACTCTGATGCTCTCATTATCACCGCCCCAATTGGAGGAATTCCTGTTCATCGGATTATGGTTGACACCGGAGCTTATTCAAGTATTTTAATGTTTCCCACTTTCAAGAAATTGGGTTTGGATCCCGCTGATATTAGGCCTTGCAACGACCAGATTCAAGGCTTCAATGGAAGCATTTCTTGCCCTCTTGGTGAAATCTTACTCCCCATTCGATTTGGTGGCTTCGGACCAAGATCCAAAATCATTATGGAAACTTTTAAAGTCTTGGATATTCAAAATGAGTACAATACTGTCGTAGGACGTACCGCTCTTTACAAACTCCGCGCTGCTGTGTCAATTTTTCATTATGCCTTGAAATTTCCCACCCTCGAAGGAGAAGGCACTCATTACGAAGATCAACAAGAGGCGCGAAATTTGACTTTGATTTTGACTTCACGCAACGTTCATGCATACGAGGCACAAGAAATTGATGATTCTTCTAAAAAGAATTTTATAAACTCTGTTCTCTCTAAGACCTACGTGACAGATTCATCCGCTTTAGGCACCGACATCCCTTCTACAGTTAATTCCGACATCGCTATGACATCGGAATCACCTAACACGTCGGATGAAGTTCAAGACCAGAAACAACAACCCTGCAAAAAGGATGTGAACTCACGTGAGGATATGGACCCAAGATTGCAGTTTAAAGATAAGAGTCACCATGTTCGGGCAGAACCCGTTGAAGACGTTGAAATTATTTA